TGCCTCCCACTGAGCAATGAGGGGCTGTTCCGGCGCCTGTTTTTGGGGTTCGAGAGGCCTAGGGAAGCGCTCTCCAAGCAGACGGAGAGTGGACAGCCACCTCCGGGAGCTTCCGGCTGCACTGGGCCATGGTGTCTGCCGCCTCCCAGTGCTGGGACCCCGAATCTGGCCCAGGGCCTCCTAGTGGGGTGTGGGCTGGCCTCCCCCTCCTGCGCAGGCCGAGCCTGGGAGGTGGCTGCAGAGCCCCCTAGACCTCACTCTGGTTACTGCCACCCGGAGCCCGGGCCCCTTAGGCCTGGACCTGCAGCCCCCGGAGTGGCCGCAGGGGACATGCACCAGGTGCTGCGAGCTGGGTGCCCCGGGACCAGCCCCGCCCCCCTGGCAAGGCCCCTCTGGGACAGAGGCCCGAGTGAGGCCCGTGTGGGTTCAGTGACCGCTCCCTGCGGCCCCCCACGCCAGGCGCACAGCGCAGGCCGCCCCGGCCCTGGGGGGTGTGTGTGTGTGTGTGTGTGTGAGCTCTGGCCCTGGCCCGGCGCAGCAGGCAGGTCTGGAACCCGGCTCGCTCCTGCACGTGGGGCGCAGGGTAACCACCAGTCCTGGGTTAGATCAAACAGAAGCTGGGCCAGAAGATGCCCTGTGACCCCGGGCCCTTGGAGGAAGGGGGGGCGGGTGAGGGGGGGCTTGGCCCTCCCGGTGGGCACCGCACCCCAGCCCAGAGCAGCCCCCAGGGGCACATTCCAGCACCGCCCCCTGCCCCCCCACCTGCAGCACATGTACCCGCTCCCCAGCCTCGGAGCGCCCCCCAGCGTGACAACCCCCTTCCCGGGAGCCCAGAGGCGCCCCAGGCCGGGCTGGGCACCGCAGCCATTCCCAGGCGGGGGAGGGGCGGCGTGAGAACCCGCCGGCGGCCGCGTGGGAAAGCGGGGGGAGGGGCGCGAGGGCGGGGCGCGCCTGGGAACTGCTCCCGCCCCCGCTGGCCTTTGAAAGGGCCACTCAGGGCAACGGCTGGGATTCAAAAGCAAACGGCCGCCGCCTGCCTGCCTTCCCGCGCCCGTGTGTGTGTGTGTGTGTGTGTGTGTGTGTGTGTGTGTGTGTATGTGTGAGTGTGTATGAGTGTGTGTGTGAGTGTGTGTGTGAGTGTGTGTGTGTATGAGTGTGTGTGTGAGTGTGTGTATGAGTGTGTGTGAGTGTGTGTGTGTGTGTGAGTGTGTGTGTGTGTGTGTGTGTATGAGTGTGTGTGAGTGTGTGTGTGTGTGTGAGTGTGTGTGTGAGTGTGTGTGTGTGTATGAGTGTGTGTGTGTGAGTGTGTGTATGAGTGTGTGTGAGTGTGTGTGTGTGTATGAGTGTGTGTGAGTGTGTGTGTGTGTGTGAGTGTGTGTGTGTGTGTGAGTGTGTATGAGTGTGTGTGAGTGAGTGTGTGTGTGTGTGTGTGTGTGTGTGTCAGGGGCGCTGGGGTCTGGGAGCCCCAGGCTGGGGACGCAGAGAGGCTGGGCCCCAGGATCCGGGGCCCCGGGGCGCCCGGGCTGTCCCTCCCACCGAGGAGCAGCGGGCTCTCCCTCAGGCACAGGTGGCAGCCGCCCCCGCCCGCCGCCCGCCGCCCGGCTCAGCTCGCATTCACTCTCCACCGCCCACTGGCCACCGGGCTGTCCGGGCCGGGACCCTCCCTGCTCCCCGATCCGGGTCCGGGGAGACACGGGGTGCCCTCCAAAGGCTTCAGCGCGCCGCCCGGGCCCTGGGGGAAGCAGCCTCGATCCCGGAGGCCGCGGAGGTGGGCATGGGCGCCACAGGAGCTGGGTGACGGGCGGGGTGGGGCACGCGGCTGGTGAAGGGGGTCTCCTGCCCGCCCCCTCCTGCCCTCCCACGGCCGCGGGCCCTGAGCACCCGCGCCTGCGCCTGCACCGCCCCCGTGGGTGTGGGAGATGGGAGGAAGCGGTGCTGCCACGCCCAGCTCTGCCCACTGCGCTGCCCACTGCTCTGCGGGGCCCGGTGCCCCCGCGGTCCCACAGAGGCACGGCCCCACCCTGCCGGCCGAGCTGCCCCACGGGGACTCTGACGGCCTCAGAAGGTGGGGGACTCGCCCGCAGGGGCCTGCTGTTAGCCCGGGGATGGAGGCCGTCACTGCCTGGCAGCTCCTTTGCTCCCTAAGGCCCCTCCCCAGACTCAAACCACAGCCTCCCCCGGCCAAGCCCTGTGCCTGCAGCCCGGCCTGTCCCGCCGCCTCCGTGCAGCCCGGCGGCCGGCGGCCTGCAGGGTCAGCCTGCGATCCGGGCCAGGACCGTGGCCACCCATTCGAGGCCGGTGGCCCTGGCTCCGGGGCCCACTTCTGCTCCGGGGCTGCTGCTCCAAAGCAAGAACTCCCCGACCAGATGCCAGCCAGGCCCCCGGGCAGAGCCGGCGTGGGGACCACGCCTGGAAGGGCCTGGGCACACGGGGGGCACAGTGGATGCCAAGACTCGAATGCCACGTGGTTTGACTCCACAGACTCTGGGCCTCAGGGTCCCACAGGCTGAGGGTGCCCGCTGCAGCCCTGAGCCGCCCCACCAGGCCTGCTAGGCTGCTCCCACGCCCGGTGCGGTGTTTCAGCTGGAAGCTGGTCACCCGCTCGGAAGTGGACGGGCCTGTGCTCATGCTTCTGCCAGCGCCCAGGGTGCAGCCGCAGAGCCTGCCTGAGCCCCGAGGGCTGAGGGGAGTGGAGAGAATCGCTCGGGACAGAGGCCCGGAGGGCAGTGGCGCCGCCTGTGGGTCTGGGATCCTGCCCCCAGGACGGGCAAAAGAAAGGGTCTGAGCCAGGCTGGGGACCTGCGTGCCTCCCTCCTGGGAGGACACGAGGGCCGGCTGGTGCCAGGCCGCTGTGGCCGGCAGCGGCTGCAGGGGGGAGGGTGTGGGTGACACGCTGGCTCCGTGCCAGGGCCCTTACTGAAGCGGCCACCGGGAGCCAGGGTGCCCAGGATGGTGGGGTCCAGGGCCCCAGGGCCATCGGGTGGGACCAGGATCTCTGATGGAGGGGCAGTCGGCAGGGCCCCGGGCTGTGGGAAGGGAGGGCTGGGGGCCGAGTGGGACGGGGCGACCAGCCTGCCCCCCCCTGCTGCCGCTGGGCTGACCCTGCCCACCGGGCCATCGTCCCAGCCGGCGTCCAGTCTGGGGCACTCAGGCCCAGCCCTTGCGACTCTGACAGCTCCGGGGCCTCCACGCCAGCCGCCCCGCCGGCTGAGGCCCGGCCTCCGGCCCGGGGCCCCTCCCGCAGCCTTTGTGCCTGCCTGACCCCGGGGCACCGAGTGTGGGAACTGGGCCGGGGCTGAGCACAATGGCCGGGGAGGGTGGGGTCAGCGCCCGAGCCTCTTCCTGCCTGTCCCTCCGTCTGGGGCTGGACATCGGGAGAGGCGGTCTCCCGGCCGGGGCCGGGCAGCGCGGGCTCCAGCGTGGGCACCGAGGCAGCTGCCCGCAGTCCCCCTCACAGGCCACGTCCTGGGGCCCCTGGGGCATCGGGCTGACATCCGGGCCCTCCCTGCGGGTGCTCACCGCAGGGGACCGAGGGCAGTAAAAATAGACGCCGGCCGGCCGTGTCAGGGTTCGTGCGTAGGCTTTTTTTTTTTAACTCAAATTTCTTTGATAAAATATTTTCCCATGGACAGCACTGGGAACGGGCTCCGGGCAGCGGCCGCTGTGGACAGTCTGGCCTGATGACCTCTGCGGGGCCGCCCTCCCGCCCCGAGAGGAGCCCCCCCCCCGAGAGGAGCCCCCCCCCGCCCCGAGAGGAGCCCCCCCCGAGAGGAGCCCCCCCCGAGAGGAGCCCCCCCCCGAGGGGAGCCCCCCCCGAGAGGAGCCCCCCCCCGAGAGGAGCCCCCCCCGAGGGGAGCCCCCCCGAGAGGAGCCCCCCCCCGCCCCCGAGAGGAGCCCCCACCCCCCCGTCCCGAGAGAAGCCCCCCACCGAGAGGAGCCCCCCCCCGAGAGGAGCCCCCCCCGAGAGGAGCCCCCCCCCCGAGAGGAGCCCCCCCTGAGAGGAGCCCCCCCCGAGAGGAGCCCCCCCCCCGAGAGGAGCCCCCCCCAGAGGAGCCCCCCCTCGAGAGGAGCCCCCCGTCCCGAGAGGAGCCCCCCCCCGTCCCAACAGGAGCCCCCCCACGAGAGGAGCCCCCGGCTGTACCCGCCCCGCGGCTCCAGGAGCTCCCTGTCCCACGGCCGGGGCCCGGAAACCGCGTGCCTGTGCCCGGGGCACCCCACGCGCAGCGGCCACGCCGGGGTCAGGTGCAGGCGCTGGGGGTGCAGGGCTGCGGGCGCCCCAGCCCCAAAGCCTCTCCCACCTTCACGCACTCGGGGTGCCCGGCGCCAGCCTGGGCGGGAGGCCTGCCCTGGGAATGCTCGTGCGCCGAGCGCGTTTCCCTCTGGGAACGGCCCCAAAATAGCCGAGGGAAGAGGGGAGTGGGAACGGCGGCGGGAGCTCTCCCGGGAGGCGGCCGCTGGGCCGGCGGGGGCAGGGGCGCGGAGCCAGCGTCCGGGCCCTCGGGCCGGGCTGGGGGCGCGGGCGACGCTGAGCCCCCAGAGCCCTCCTGGGTCAGCCTGAGGGCACCACTCTGCCGCCAGCGCCCTCTCCGGCCCAGCCTCCCGGGCGGTGGGGGCGGGTCGGCCGCAGCCTGCTGCCAGGGGCACCAGGTGGCACCGGTGCTGGGAGTTCTGGGCCTGCTGGCATCCCCCTGGGAGGCCTCGGCCCCCTGGCCGCCCTGGAAACCGCCTCCCGGGCCCTGGGCAGGGCGTTCAGCTGTCCCGCGGCTGCTGGGGAGGCCACACGGGGCTCAGAGCGGGCAGGACCTGCTGCCCTGCCCGGCTCAGCCTCAGCAGCCATGCACACAGCGCCCCCTGGCACCCCTCCCCTCGCCTCCTGGTCACCAGGCCGGTCCAAGTGGAGAAAGCCCGGCTTCTCAGAGATCCCCTTCTCTGCCCACCTGGCCCTGCACCTGCTGCCTTTCCAGGGCCTGTGGATCCCCCAAACGCCTGCCTGCCACCAGGGCGCCTGCCCGGGGCCCTGCCTGTCTCCTCGGGGCTGAGCCGGCGGGGCTGTGGCCGGCTGTGCTTCCGGGCTCCGCAGGCCCGAGGGTCCTGCTTCCTGACAAAGACAACCGGGCGCCAGTGTCGCCTCACCCCACACTGCCATTACCTACTGCCCGGGCAGGCCAGCCCGCGCGGGGGCCACACACAGGTCTCTGCGGGACCCCACCCCTTCCCGCTGTGGCCCCCACGCCAGTCAGGGCAGCTGCACCGGCCCCACCTCCTCGCCAGTGGCCTGCGGGAAGCCATTCGCCGACCCCCACCCAACCCCACGCCCCATGCCAGGTGTCCCAACCCCCCTCCACTCCAAACCCAGGACCCAGCCCAGCCCCGTCCCTCAGCCGGAAACCAGGGAACCTGGCCACACGCGTCATCCCGGCCGGCCCTCCGCCCTGGCCGGCTACCACTGCACACAGGTGCACGCTCCCCTCTGCCCTGTCCGGCACTCCCAGTCCGGCCACTCCGGCCACTGAGCGCCGCCCGCCCCCACGGCCACCAGGGGGAGCTCTGCCTCCCAGCCTGAGGCCTGGGCCGGGGCGGCGGTCCGGCCGGCCCAGGAGCACTGGACACAGGCTGCTCCCAGCACATGCTCCCCAGGGCGCAGAGGGGCCTTCCTCCCGCTCCACGTCCTGTTTTCTCCGAAAAGCTCATAGCATGCCGCCCCGCTTCCGGGAGGCCCCGGGCCTGACAGCGCCCTCCCCCTCCGGCCCCCCAGCCCAAGGGAGGCCGGAGTGGCTGCTGTCCGTGGCCCTCCCGCCCGACACAGGCTCCCCTTCCTTCCTCCTCACCATCAGCCCTCCTCACGGGGACCCGCATTCCAGAATGTTCTGCACCTGGAGCCTGGCCCAGCCCGCAGGGCCAGCTGAAAGGCTGCATCCTCCCTCAGCTAGGCTACCCCCAGGGCGGGCGGGGGCTCAGAGCTCAGAGCCTGGGCGGCACGGAGGTGAGTCAGCATCGGGCACCCAGGCTGAGCCCTCTGGACCCCCCCTCCGGGACCTCCTCCCCAGCCTTCCGGATGCCCCGGGGCCCCAGGAGCCCGAGGGCCCCGCCCAGCCAGACTTCCCAGCTTCCTGCCCCCGAGGCCTGCGGAGGTCACCGGGCACAGGACAGTTCCGGTCCGATCGGACAGCACTTTTCTGAGCGGCTCCCTCGCCCGCAGCCGCCTGCCGGCCACGCCGGGCCCTGTCACAGAGGCCCTGCAGCCGCACCCCTGGTGGGCAGAAGAGGAGAGAGGGCGCAGCGGGACAGCGCACACGGGCAGTGGCCTCGGCGTCCGGCCCGGCCAGGACTCTGCCCCGGGCAGCGGGGGACCCACCTGGCAGCGGCTGAAGATGTCGGCGGGGCTGACGCGCACGTTGAAGTGCCGGAGCACGGCCTTGGCCTGCTGCGTGGCCTTGAGGCTGCAGTCCACCCGGAGGCAGCGCCCATCCCCGACCTGGGACCGGAGCTGTGGAGGGGTCGGCTGCTGAGCTCGGAACGGCCTGGCCGCCCTGCCCCCGGCTTCCCTTCCCCCCGTCCCTCTGCCCCCTGACCCTCAAGTCCCCTGCCCCATTCCCCCTAACCCCCTGCTCCCAGCCCCCGTTCCCCTGCCCCCCAGCTCCTCAGCCTCAGGCCCACGGCTTCCCCTTGGTCCACTCAGGACACCAGGGGCCGGTGGCCACAGCAGATGGAGTTGGGGTGTGAGGGGCGGGGCCCGCGGGGGTCCTCACCGTGTGGTACGGCAGCCCTGATGTCAGGATGATCCTGCCCTCCTGCCGGGCCACCTGTGCAAAGGCAGGACCACTGGTGAGGGCACCCGCCCGGGACCCGCTGCTGCAGCCCATCGCCTCTGCCCGGTCTCCGGGGGGACGGGGTAAAGTGGCCCAGAAACGGGGGCCAGGAAGGGCCAGCCACAGCTGTTCGGGCTCCAGGGTGTCCACGCGGCGGCCGCAGCAGCACCACACAGCCCTGCGCCCTGCAGCGCCGGGGACGGGACAGGGACAAAGCCCACGGGCGCCCTGCGCTCACCTCGGCCGCCCGGCGGTGGTCCTCGCCGCTGCCCAGCGCCAGCACGTCGGCGCCCAGGAGGCGCAGACTGCGTGCCAGCCCCTGCAGCATGCTGTCACACACCACACGGAAGGCCCGGACCGGGATCTCCGGGGCCTGGGCCTCCGCCTCCGCCTCCGCCTCCGCCTCCGCCTCCGGCACCTGCAAGGCAGCCCACTCAGCAGCAGCCGCCCCCGCGCTCGGGGTTAAGCGGTGGCTCTATTTTTATTTTTATATTTTATTGATTGCAGAGAGGAAGGGAGAGTGAGAGAAACGTCAACGAGAGAGAATCATGGGTCGGCTGCCTCCTGCACATCCCCTACGGGGGATCGAGCCCACAACCCGGGCCTGTGCCCTGACCGGGAATCGAACCCCGACCTCCTGGTTCATAGGTTGATGCTCAACCACTGAGCCACGCCAGCCGGGCTGGTCGCTTTAAAAAAAAAAAAAATTGTGCCGAAGCCGGTGTGGCTCAGCAGGTAGAGCATCCGTCTGTGGACTGAAAGGTCCCAGGTTTGATTCCGGTCAAGGGCATGTGCATTGGTTGCGGACACATCCCCGGCAGGGGGTGTGCAAGAGGCAGCTGGTCGATGTTTCTCTCTCATCGACGTTTCTAGCTCTCTATCCCTCTCTCCTCCTCTCTGAAAAAAATCAATAAAATATATTTAAAAAAAAAAAAAAAAAACTGTGAAAAGAATCTCGAGCAGCGAGCCCAACGCAGAAAACAGATAAAAGGATCGTCACCCACACGAGGTCCCCAGGACCCGCTCAGTCCCCGGGGGCCCCGGGGCCCTGAAGTGGGGTTCAGGGAGCACAGGCACAGCCAGATGCTGCCCTGGACCTCCGGGGGCCGGGGACACCCAGGCCTGGCGTCGGGAGGGCTGGGACCCCCTCCAGGAAACTGCCCACACGCTGGGCTCCTCTCCGGATGGAGGAACCCGGGCCCCCCACCCGGGCCCCCCACCCGGGCCTCCACCCGCACCGGGACCCACGCTCCCGCGGTCACCTGCTGGGGCGGGGCGGCGGCCTCCTGCGGGCCAGGCGGCTCCGGGCTCCGGGCCAGGTCCCCCGGCAGGTGGACGCGGGCGGGCTGGCTGCACAGCGCCCAGTACACCTCCAGCAGGCAGTAGGCGTCGGCAGCTGGGGGCAGGGGCAGCCTTAGCCTCCGGCGGCGGGCCGGGGGGCGGGGCGGGGCGGGCGGGGCACGTACCCGCGTACAGCAGCTGCCCCTCGGCCAGGGGCCGCCGGTCCCAGTTGGAGAGCTGCTGGGCCTTGTCCAGGGGCCTGCCCAGCACCCACTGCACCAGGAGGCTGAGGCCCCGCGGCTCCGGGGCCCGGGCCTCGCCCGGCGCGGGCCCAGCGGCCTCCCGGATCTGCCAAGACAGTGCCGGTGAGGCCCGCCCAGGGGACGGGGGCACGCCCACGCCCTGGCTGCCCTGCACCGCAGCGGTCCGAGCGAGGACGGAGGGACAGGAGGCTGGTCCGGGGTCTGGGGCTGTGGTCCCCGCCCACCTGCCCGTTCGGGTTCGTGCTGAGAGCTCCTGAGGGGCCAGAGGGGGCCGGCTCCGGGGGTCGTGGCACATGAGGGACGCCCTGCCTTCCGGGCCCCGGTCACTGTGGTCAGGGGCAGGGCTGGGGGGAGGACTGAGCAGACGGACCGAGCCCTGGGCCGCCCGCCCCGCGCGCTCACCCGCTCATGCACCAGCTGCAGGTCCAGGCCGCCCTGCAGCTGCTGGGGCGCGTGGGCCAGGGCGGGGCAGGCGGCTGCCAGCCTCTTCAGGTCGCCGGCCATGCCATAGCCTGTGGGCAGCAGAGGGTGAGGGCGCCGAGGGTGGGCCGACCCCCGCGCTGCATCCCGGCGGGCTTGGCCGGAGCTGGGGCAGGCCGTGTTTACCCAGCTTGGTGACGGACGGGTCTGAGAGCAGCCGGGACACCAGCCCACAGAGGGCCCGGGCTGCCTGCGCCTCCGGCCGCGAGAGCGTGAGCAGGTCCAGCAGGAGCACGCGGCCCCGCACGGCCAGCTGCAGGAGGGACGCCGGCGGCCGGTCCCAGGCGCCGAACGAGGGCCTCCACTCCAGGTCCAGGGCGACCACCTGGCCGGGCTGCAGAGAGGCCACAGGCGGTCTGAGTGGGCGCCGCCGGGCTGAACCACGTGCGTGAGGCCGCCCCTCCCTCCTCAGCAGGGCCGCGCCGTGAACGGCCGGTGGGTGTGCCCTGCTGTGGGACGAGGCGGCGTGGACGGAGCCCACGGCCCCGTGGCAGCCCCGTGGCCCACCTGCAGGAGCTCCGCCTCGTGCCGGGCCAGCTCCTCCCACGAGGCCAGGACGTGGACGTCCTTCCTGGCGATGGGCAGCTGGTAGTAGCAGCCTGTCGTGTCCTGGGAGGGCGCCTCGGCCGGCCTAGGAGGAGGCAGCGCCGGCACCATGTCCTGGCCTGACGGGGGTCTGCCCCATCCTCCTCCCACAGGCCGCTGTGGGCGTGAGAGCTTCCTGGGGTGAGACCCAACGCGGGTCCCCCAGGGGCCTGTCCCCTGCTCTGCGTGGCTGCTCGCTGGGAAGGCGGTGTGCACCCCATTCCTGGTTTCTGATTTCCAAATCGCGGACACATAACCCCCAGGACAAGGGCCCCCGCCCCGGCTCACCTGCCCTGGAGCCTGAGCCGGCGGAGCTCCGTGGCCGCCGTGGCCGGCAGCCACGCCTCGGGCAGCGACAGGTCCAGCGCGCACCGGGCCACCGTGGCCGCGTCGGTGCGCGAGGCCAGCAGCCGCAGCAGCCGGCCCTGCAGCCACTCGCTGGAGCCCACCAGGCCCTGGGGACAGGCAGCGAGGCTGAGCCTCGGCTCTGCGGGCGGGAAGCCCCGCCCGGACCTCACCCTTCGGCCGGCGCAGCCTCGGGGAATCTGCTGTCCCTGCCCACCCCGCCGGGCCCTCCCGCTGCCGTGCTGGGGACCGGCCAGCACCTCCTGTCGGCCTGGGTTGGGGGCCAGCACGTGGTTGGGCCCCGCTCCCCCCGCCCCCCGCGGGCAGCTCCCAGCCCGGCCGCCCCACACCAGCGTCCTGCGTGGGAGCCGGGGTTTCCATCAGCGTCCGCTCAGCCCCGGAAGCGCCAGCGCCCCCCCATGGCTCTGCCCCCAGCAGCCCGGGCCTCCGCTTCCCGCAGCCGGAGTTCCCACGCGGACAATATGTG